ATCTGTGTTAGCGCTGTAATAATTCTCTGCCTATGAGCTGTTGCTGACACCTATTTTTATGACACTGAAAAAAGTGTGTATCAGGTTTTATCCTCTGTTATTATCTACTCATGATATTAAGATTTTATTAAGATTCATGTCCAAATGAAGCAGAGAACCCAACCAAGCTGGGGAAGGATGAACACACTGAGAAACTCAGATGGTGAGAGCTGAGATTCCCCTCTCTTGGTAAAATGCCAGCTCAGGGTTGGAAGCAATTATTTTAATTACTAAAAAAAATTAAGGAAATAATGCAGTGGTTCAGAGGCACAATCCTGGATTAGTCAAGTTTCTTAGGAAACCTTTCCATCCACGTTGCTGTGATGGTTTTTCTCTTTCCAAATCCCATGAGAGTTGCTCAAGGACAAAAGCTTGGGTGGAATCATAACCACAGCATGCCGGGCTGGCTCTGGAGGCAAAGCCAAGTGCAGGGACCCTTCTCATTCCAGAAAATGAAGTGGTTTTTGGTGAGCTCTGAGCTCCTGTAAGGAGAGCCTTGCGTGTCTCCTGCTCCTCAGGAGCCCTGCTCAGCTCTGGAAGGAAATATCAAGTCATGTAAACCACTTTCTTCCAGTTTTGGGGCCAGCATCTCAGCTGGTGTAAGTCAGCAGAGCTGCAGTGACATTATTAGTGCTGCAGTGATTCACACCAGCTGTGGGTCTGCTTCTTCTGCCTTTAATTTATGAACTAAATGTCAGGAAATATGAAATGATCTCTTATAGTCAGCAGTTCTCCAGATGTGTTAATGGAGTTTAAGTTTACCAAAAGGCAAGACTTCAAAAAGAGATCCAGCAGAGGGATAAACTTTGGGGGAGAGTGCCTTGCTTACAGGCTTCCTGGCAAGAGGGGGCTGTGCAACTCGCTGCAATTTACAGAAATTAACTCAGTTACGTGTCAGGATAGGGCAATGCAGCCTCCCTGAGAAACCCAAAATAATTTCACAGCACAGAGCAGGCTGCTGGCATTGTGCAAGTGGGAATCACCGAGCCCTAAAAGCAGAGTGGAGCTGCTGATGAGCTTGGTGTGAAGAGCCCAGTGCCTCCCCTCTGCGCGCATCGCATTTATTCAGGGCTGGGTTCATTCAGAGGCAGCTTCTTGGAGATTCCATGAGGACCGTGTTGTTACAAGGACACAGAAGCTTAACAGTTCTCACAGTGCAATGTGAAAACTCAACAGTGGCTTGGCTTAAGGATGTGCTCTCGTGGGTGGTGTTGAAAACTGTTATTTTAGCCAATGAGGAGGGAATGGTTGTTGACGTTGCTTAAGCCCTGTCAGGCTTCCTTGTCCAAATCAGAAAACTCTGGAACTGCTGAAACCTCACAGACAACAAATGTGGGGTCTCAGAGGACTTTTAATTCTTTTATGCCTGAATAATATATGAGCAAATGCTCCAAAAAAAAAAAAAAAAAAAATAAAACAGCTATACCTGAAATATCCTGTGATGGCACAAAGGCCTCCACAGCCCAATTTATTTGCTAATGAGACCTTTCAGAATTAATTTAAGTGATCAGTGGGTGGCTCCACACTGTGTGCTTCACTGGGGATGGACTCACAGAGGTAAAAGGACAACACACCTTCAGTGATTGAACCTGAAATCCCTCTGCTGGAGCTTGGTGCCTGTATTTTATTTTTAAATAAGTTGATTTCTATCCACCAGAGCAGTGGGGGATGCTCTGAGGTCACTGGTGAAGGGCCCAGATCTGTTCCACAGCTAATCCCAGTGACTTTTTGGTGAGGCAAATATCTGCTTAGGTGTCACTGCATGCCAAAAGGAATATAAAAGATGCTTGGCACAATTTATTCAGGTCTGAAGAAGAGTGTTTTGGAAGAGTTCTCAGAGAAAGCTCGTTAGACTTTCAGAGAAAGTAATTACCATACTCTGAATATAGCAATATATTGAATTTAGAGGGGTTGGCAGAGCTGGAGGGGTGAGGAAACCCTTCTGGATCAGCATCCAACACTCAGCATTCACAGGGCTTCTGCTGATGGCCTTGGAGCACCACAGGGATGGAATGGAGCTCATTTCCCACCACCAGGAAACACAGAATGTTCAGAGCCCTGAGCCTCCAGGGGCCTGAGCAGCTCCAAGTGGGAGCTCCGCAGTGCCTGCTGTCTTAGGGAGCTCATTCCCCTTTGGAATTGACATTTTTTATAGAGATTTCAGCTCCCCAGAGATTCCTGGGTGGGAGTTATGGAAAAATTTGGTTCTGAAAATCGAAGAATTCATTGATTTGACCAACAGTGCTGACTGTACCACACGGAGCAGCTGAAGGCAGATGCTCGAATCAGTCTGAAAACGCAGAATTCATTGTGTGCCTCATTTCCCTGAGTCCTCACAGGGCAGCACTGGAGGGTAGAACTCTCCACCACTTCTCTCCAGCTCTTCCCATCCTGGGCAACACATGAAATTTTCGCTTTTTTTGTCAGCATTGCAGCAGTGTAATAAACCTGGGCATGAACCCTGTGAATCTGCAGCCACGTCCTGAGCCAAGCTTCGGAGATCACATCCTCTGTTCAAGGCAGGGACTGATGCTGGTCCCTGGAATTCCTCGTCACTGGGAACTCACAGCCCTGGGATTGATAAATCCCCTCTAAACGCACAGGATAACAAGTTTCTCTGCAGGATTCAGTTGTTTTTTGGGATTTTTTGGGGGTTTTTTTGTTTTTTTTTTTTTTTTGTGGATTCAGCCTATATAAGTGTAATTCCTATAGGCACCGAAAGCTGTTGGAAATGCCACTTTTTTTTGGGATACATCACCTTCCCAAGGCACAAGGGCAGAGCTGTCTGTACTGGAATCATGTCCTGGAGAGAGAGCAGAAATAAGGAATATGATTAGCAGGATTCCTGCATCTGGGCTGCTCTGCCCAGCTCTCCATGTGGGAATTGGGGGTGAAATGGTCATTCTCAGGGTGTTCCAACAACTTCTAATGGTTCATTTATAAAATCTTTTAAAATATAATTTTAAATAAATATAAAACTATAAATATAAATATATTATATTTATACGTATACTTATTTTTATATAGTTATCTATAAAATATATATTATTTATATATTTGTATAAAATATTAAAACAAACTATATTAATAAATAATTATATTTTATAAATATAAATATATAATAAATATTTATATTTTTAAATAAAAATTTATAAACTCTTTTCAATATAAATTTGTATGTAAATATAAAGCTATAAATACATTTTTTATATATTTACATATACAAGATAAAAATATAAATTATATAGTTATATAAAATATGAAAAAATATATTAATAAATATAAATTTAATTATATACTTTATATAAATATAAATTTATCAACTTGTAATAGAAATTATAATATAAATATAAAACTATAATTCTATTTATTTATAGGTATATAAATAGGTATAGGTAAAAATAGGTATATGAAAAAATATATATGTATTTGTATAAGATATAAATATAAATATGCCTTTAATTATAAACATATAAATATATGTTTTACATAAGTATAAATGTCTAAACTGTTTTTATATAGAATTTTATATAAATATTGTCATGGTTTGACACTGCCCAATGGGGGCACAATGCCAGTGCCCCCACAAAAATACCCTCTCCCTGGTGTCTGCTGTGAGATGTGACCAGGAATAAGCAAAGCAGGCTCCTGCTTAGAAATAAAGAAAACTTCATTAACTAAACTACAAGAAAATAACTAAACTACATGGAAAGAAAAAAAAAAAAAACAAAACACAGAAGGAAAATGAAAACCTGACAAAAGCATTTTCCTCCTCCTCCCCACCAAATTCTCAATGCAATACATTCCCCCAAAATCACCAACCCTTGGTCTGGCACCACCCTTTAGAATGCTGAATCTTCAGTTCATGAAGAGGAGAGGAGTCCTTCTTGCACCATAGGCTTCCCCTGGAAACACGCTGAAACCTCGTGTGCTTCCATGTCACTCAGCACTCCCCGGAAAGTGCTTTGCCATCGTGACACCTTCCTTCCACGCCCAGTGCTCTCACCACTGTGCATGGACCAGAGCTGCTTCCAGGGTTGTCTTTCAAGGGTGCCTTGTCTCACTCCAAAAAGGCACAGTCTCTCCTTCGGGACACCTGTCCCCCCCACATTTTTGCACACCCTGGGGCCGAGGGGTACCCACACTGAACCCTCCTGGTTCTCAGGCACTGACTCCCCCTAAATGCAGTCTCTGTGTCACAGGAAAAGAAAATGGTCCCGTCCACAGCCACACAAGAAAAGTCCAGCCAAAAGGCCACTCCATCATCTCCCCCTCCACTCAAGAGTCTTCTGCACTTCCCTTGTGGCCCATTCCCTCTTATCTCTTATCTCTCTTCTCATTCAGCTCCAGGAGGATCAGCATTGAGGGTTTCTATCATGCAAGACAAGGGTTAAAATTTCACTCTCTGCCTGTCTGGGCACCTTCTCGCCGCTCTCCCCCCTTCTCCTGCTGGGCTGCTGCTATCAAATTCAGACGCCGACTCTCCCTCTCTCTCCTGGGTGGGGGGATGGCTGCCCGATGTCTCTTGGTGCTCCTCCACCCTTCCATCCTCAAGGGCCTCCTCACCTCCCATCTCTGTCCAGGCCCAGGCCTACCGCAGGGCTGGCCCTGCCCTGCCCAGCTGCAGCAGCTCTGCCAGGGGAGCAGCTCTGCTTTTAACCCCTGTGTGTTCTCAGAGGCGTATCCAAATCCCAGTGGCTAAACCAGATGCCAATATTAAAATCTGTGCACCCATTGGTTTGACCACAACCTCCCAGAAAACCTGTTTCCTGTCAATGTCAAACCACCACAAATGTATAAATTATAAATTTATAAATTTACGCGATTTACAAACTGAATGTCCTCTGCCTGCTTTGCCACTGCCGCCCCAGCGAGTGATTAGGTCTGGAATAACCCCGAAATGAATTGGAATTACTGATATTTGTTTCCAACCTTGTGTGACATCGCTCTGTTTGTTCCAGGCCCGGCCCGGCCTCCTCGGGGCAGCGCTGCCCAGACTGGGATCTGGAAACCCTGGAGAACTCGTGTGGGCCAGAGGAGCTCTTCAAGGACATGTAGCCACTGTGGGCCGGGCACAGCGACACTGCTGCTCCCTCCAGGGATGAGTTATCAACTAAAAGGGTTTTTGTTACAGAACAAAGTCTCAACCTTTGCGCTGAGGCTCTGAACCCTCCTGCACCACGCTTTTTGCAGACCTTGGCCTGCTGCACCTCATTTGTGGCAGTCCAAAATTGAGTTCAGTCCCTGTGCAGAGCTTTTCTCACCCGCATGGGGGAATTGAGGGCACTGTGGATGTGTTTTTGCATCCTCACGGCCTCTGGTTGTGCTCAGGATCAACCATTTCCCAAGCACCAGGCCTGGGGTGATGGTAGACATGCGCTGAGCTCAGCCTTTCCCCAGGCTTGGATGGATAACTCAGCTTCATTTGCCAGGCTTGGATGGATAAATCAGCTTTATTTGAGGTGCAAGTGTGACTTTAGATTGGTTCTGAGTCAAAGCAAAATGTCCTTTTACTTGTGGCACTCCAGCTTTTGGTAGTAAAGTGCTACTAAGGTTGATATTGACTCTATTTTAACTTTCTGTAGAAACCCACAGCGTTTAAAATTGTGATTTTTGATACTTCAGCTTTTTCCTTATGGCAATTTCTTTAAAAAAAACCAAGAAAATTAAAATGCATTTGAAAACATAAATCAAATTTGTCTTTGTTTGTTAGACATTATGAATAAAGGTAGTAGTTACCAAAGTGTTTTAATGCCTGATCTTGTCTTGCCCCCAACTGATGCATTAATTTAGATTTAAATCTTCACCAAAAAGACAAAGTTAACATGCATTTACCTTTCAGTGGCCAAAATTAAGAGCTCGAGGCGGACCTCAGGATTCTGCTTTACATTTTCAGGACCTGAATCCATCCTTGCTTGAAACTGAAGGATCCAATTCTTTCTGCAGAAGGAATCCCACTGAAGTCAGTCCTTGATATCATCTGTGGGTTGCAAAGTTCTTTGGTAAAATACTTGATATTTTTGAAGTGGCTCTGATTTTGCCAGAATTCAATCCTATATCCAATTAAAAGCATCCCTGTCAGTACTTACAGGCTTCACACAAGAACATAGGGATCTGGGAATATTATATTTAACCATTCCTCTCTGAAAATAAAACACAGTTACAGCGTTTTAAATTCACAAAGGGCTTTGGGACAGTACTATAAATCACGCAGCAAAAATAAGAATGGCCAAAATATTTTGCTTGCTAAAAAGGCTTTGTGCCTGGGAAGTGGCAGGGCCACAAAAGGGCCATTCATGCACCCATTCATAGGCACAGCCTGATTTAAAATCTTCCAGTGCTGATCCGACAATGCTTTCAGCAGAAGCTTGTATATGGTTTCAGTTTTAGAGTGAAAATGTTCCATGACTCAACCCAGAGCGCCAGAGCTTGGCGTGATGGTGCCTGCAGCAGAGAATGGAGCTGGACATCCCACAGAACTGCCCCCTTCCAGGAAACTGTTGGGTTTCTAATAGTAAAATGTTGTTGTTGCAAATAGGAAATGTTACACGCTGTTGGCGCGTGTAATAAAGTCCATGAGGGCATTTATTCTTTTCTCTTCTCTTCTCTTCTTTTTTTTTTTTTTTTTGGGTTTTTTTGTTTTTTTTTTTGGTTGGGGGGTTTTTTGGGGTTTTTTTGGTTTTTTAGTTTGGTTGGTTTTGAGGTGTTTTTTGTGGTTTTGAGTGTTTTTTGTGTTTGTTTGTTTCTTGTAGGTTTTTGTTTTGGTGGTTTTTTTTGGTTTTGTCTTGGTTTGGGTTTCTTTGGGGGTTTTGGGTTTTTTGGTTTTGGGGTGTTTTTGTATGTGTGGTTTGGGGTTTTTTTGGTTTTGGGGGTTTTTTGGTTGGGGTTTTTTGTGGCTTTTTGTTTTTCATTTTTTGGCTTATTTTGTTGGTTTGTTTTTGTTTTTTGGGTTTTTTTGTGTAGGCTTTTCTTGGATGCATTTTTTGTTGCTTTTTAAATTTCTTTGTCTTTTTGGTTTTCTTTTAATTTTTGGGGTTTTTTGGGTTTTTTGTTTGTTTAGTTTTTGTTTAGTTTTGTTGGGAATTTTTTTGTTTGCTTGTGGTTTTTTGGGGGCTTTTTTGGTTTTTTGTTTTGGTTTGGGTTTTTTTGCTTTTGTTTGGTTTGGGGTTTTTTTGTTTGTTGTTTGTTTTGTTTGTTTGTTTGTTTTATTTTGTTTTGCACACTCAGACACCTCCTCTCCCCGCCTGGCAGTGTTCCCAGCCTGGGGAAATCCTTTCTGAAGATTTATTCGAGAAACTACTGGGTTTTTGGGTTGTTTTTATAAGTTTCCATTTTTCTCTTGACTTTGACTGGGAAAAATCCACCAATCTCCAAATCACTTCAGATCTGTGTGGGTCTTTCATTGTGTGAGAACAGAGGTAATTTTTTCCTGCAAAACCTGGAGGAAATCAGTGAAAATCCCTCAGGAATTTGTCTGTGAGAGAAGTGGGGATCTCTGCTTTGTGCTTCAATTCATTCCTCCCTGTGCACGGAGATGTGGCCCAACCCACCCAGACAGGTGAAACCTATTTCAAATATTTCAAATCAACTCCTGCTCTTTGGGAAGGGACCCCTGTGGAAATGCCTCAGAAAATGACTTTATAAAGCTTACTAAATTAACACTTGGTGTTGCTTGGTTGTCTCTGAGAAAAGCCAAGGTTTTTGCCATCCCTGCACGAGCGGTTCTGGATTTAATCCTGACTCCACTCACCCTCCTCTTTGGCACACTTACCAAACTTCTGCTTGTTTTGGTTTGTGGACAGGTTCTATAACCCGGTGTATATAAGACAGATTTTTCCAGGTGTGCCAGTGAGATTTCAGATCACTCAATTTCTTCTCCCCTACCCAAAATTACGGGAGACAAAATAGAGAAAAATGCCCAGAAATGGGTTTTTAAAGGCAGGAACTTAACCAAAGTTAGGAATGACAGATCAAATTCCAAAGATTCTTCTTTATTTATCCTTGATATTGATCTACAAATCAATACAAATTAATTTCCAAAGTAATTTTTTTTCCCCACCAGCTCAAACTGTATTTTTGGGGGAAGACAAAACATGGAGTTGTTTTGCAGAAGGAAAAAACACTTCTTCTTTAAAGGTTTGGACTCATCTAGAGTTTTATACCTGTAATGTAACTGCTAGAACAGAATGTGTATTTTCATGGAAAACAAATTGTTATTTGAGGTCTGAGTTCATCCAGCAAATTTTGAAAAGCACACCTCAAAAAAAATTTATTTTCAAGAGCAGAAAAAGAGAGTTCTGGACCAAAAAACCCACCCAAAATACCCCATCAATTCTTGAGGAAGTGCTGCATAAAGCGTTGCCTTTGGCATGATAATGCTAATTTGATTTTGAGATAATGTTTTGACTGTCTGTATCACTATTTTAACTCCCTTCTCACCATTTCTCCTCGGAGCAGACACTCGTGTGGGTGACTGTGTGTGCATCAGAATCTCCCCCTCTTTGTGCCTGTGATGTATAAATGATATTTATGTGTGGATAAATGTGATTCTCTGCAAATGTTTAGTGTGGTATCAGTATTTAGCGCTGGCTCTGACAGCTCCTGCAGTTTGATCCATCAGCCTGGAGGTGCTTGAGGAAAGGAAAAGTCTTCACATGTGGGGATCCAGGTGCTGATAAATGCTTAAGGCAAAGCTTTTTTTGTTTTCTTCCTGTTTTTATGTGAAAAATAAAAGATGAGAGCAGTGAAGTCAAAATGGAAGGAAAACAAGGTAATGAAAGCATGTCCAGGGTGCTTAGAGACGGGAGGTGACACACCTGACCTTCTCCTGAGCAATCCTGAGTGAGAGAAATGCCCAGGATTTGGTGACCCCGCTGAGAGAGGATCAGCCTCAGATCCTCTATAAATAAACTATATGTTTATTTTTATTTTTATTTTTATTTTATCTTATTATTTTATTTTTATTTTGTATTTTCATTTTTAATTTTAGTGTTATTGTTGTTATTGTTATTGTTATTGTTGTTATCTTTACTTTGATTTTTATTTTATTATTTTACTTTTATGTTTATGTTTATGTTTATGTTTAATTTTTAAAAAAACAACATTAAGATTCTTTCTGGAGATCCTTAGGGATCAGTCCTGGGGTCAATCTCATTGACCATTTTCACCAGTGGCATTGAAATAAAAAGAATTGCAGTGAAACCTCTGGAAGATGTGGATCTTGGAAGCCTGGCACTGGGTGGTATTGAATTTCATGCTATCCCACTGAGCAGATGTGACAACAGCAACCAGAAATCACCTTTTTCTTTTTTTTTTTCTTTCCTTTATTTCTATTTTTTCCCGCCCTGAATTCTACTATCATCCAAGCTGATGTTTGTGCAAGCCCTGGATTAAAAGGATGACCATTCCACTGTAAGGCTTCTTCTTGGGAAGGAAACAAAGCTCAGTTTTGGGTTTTTTTGTTTTTTTTTTCTTTTTATGGCTCTGTTTTCCTGGTGCAGAAATATTTAACCAAGGAAAATCCTCCCAGAGTCACTGGACAGGTGATTTTGGAAAGAGACTGTGAGAATAATCTCTGTAAATATTTTCTTGTGAGCCTCAGCTTTTTGGGAATCCGACCAGCGGCTCCTTACCCTTCCTGGGTAGGAAACAAACATGAAACCACTTGAATACTTTCAGTATTAAATGTAAAATGATTAAAAATGCTGTTCTCGTTATCTTCCTCTCACACACAGAGCTGCTGTTCATGGGAGAGAGTCTGAAGGGAATATTTGATGGTAAAATTCATGTCCAAGGTAGACATCCACCCTGTGAGGGGCATGAAGCCATGAAGTGTTTACACATCTGTTTTAATGCAGCTATTACTGTAGAATTAATTTAATAATCATCAGTTCAGCATGTAGCACCCATGTTGCTCTGAGTAAATGATGTGATACCATATTGTCCTTCTTTTCCTGCTTAATTAGCCATGACTTCAAAGCCCTGCATCTCATTCCTAGTGCATGGTTCTGATTCCTGTTGGTTCAGAGACCAGGCTTGAGCTCTGTGTTTAATCAGTT